TTATGTTGATATAAGGATTGGTAATATTTTTTGGCCATATATTATCTGCTCTTGTTTTTTCAGTCTTCAGAACTTTTTCTAGATTTTCATAGTTCCAGCTTTGCAATAAAGAGATTTTAACCGTTTTGTCTGCAGCCAGTAGTTCTCCAGATGGTGTTAAAATGGACACAGTGCATGATGAAAGTGCCATTAAATACGTTCAGGATGTCCGCCCAGAAAACAGTGAAAAAGACTCAAGTGGGCAGAATTGGACACAGGATGAAATGTCAAGGTAGGACCCCGAAGAAGCAGCATCTGTTCTTATTTACTGGGTCAGGCACTGTCCTTGAACATTTTGATTCAATATGTAAATCCATGGATAACACTATTTAACATAGTAATGCATTGTAGGGGTACAGATATTATGGACCCTTCTCTGGAGCGGAGCAATGAGATTCCGAGTTTGGCACAAGTGGCACAAATCCAACAAAGCAGTGATGTATCACCAACAAGTAAGGCCCCTGTGAAAAAGCAAAGTGGGGTGACTGTATACATGTTTTCCCGTTGTCTTGACCCTTTTATTCATTTAAACCCCCTCCCCACTTGTTCTCTCATTTTTCATATGTTTAACCTAGTAGTAGCTTAATGTCTATCTCTTTATGTACTTTATTCAGATACTTCTACAGCTGCCATCTCTGTAGATCATGAAAATGATACGTGGATTTTTAAGCCTTTATGGATTTTATTATCTTATTCTCAACAGTAACAAATGCTGCGGCCAAAGCTTCCTTGCCCACTGTGTTTGAGGGGAGAGATGATTTGGAAAATTCATTCACCAATACTCAAAAAGAGAAACAATTTGACAGTCAAAACCTGGGACATGAGGAAGCATGGTAAGACCCTTAATGGCTTCATTACTGTATTCCCCAGACAGAGAATACAGTGTTTCCCCTAGGTTTACAACTTTGGGGGCGGGGGGGCAGATGGACACTGACAGGATTCATGGTGTTCATGTGATTCTTGTAATGACAGCAGTCAAAAAAATGCAGATGTTTCTGTCTGGTTTTCAGGTGCTTGACGTGACATATTTTCCGACGCAAGCTCTCTGCCTGCTGGTGGGAGTGTGCTCACCTGTGTGTGTGCACACGAGTCTGTGTGCACACATCGGGGCGGAACTGCGCCATGCGCGATACAGAGCGTAGAGGAGAATTGGAAACGCGTGACCTTGTAAAGACAAAAATGACAAGCTGTTGTGTAAATAAGATAAATAACATAAGACTATTTAGTTTGTTTAATAAAATGACAATGTATAGACCCATTCTATAGGAAAAGTAACCTTAAATGACTTCTGTTGTGATCTGGTACTATAGAAAATAAAATTTTATAAATTTAAATAAAATTAACTTGACCTTCAAGGGGGGGGCGGGGCATCCCCCTAATATAATGGTAGGGTAAACACTGGAATAAATAGGCTTTTGGGTTACTTATCTAGTTAACACGATAACTCAAAAAGTATTTGATGGATTTCATTACCACTTCACCAAAACATTACACGGATATACACTCACCTAAAGGATTATTAGGAACACCTGTTCAATTTCTCATTAATGCAATTATCTAATC